CCGTTTCTCGAAAGCCTCAGCGCAAAAGAGTCACCAGAAGGAAGCCCATTTCACGAAAGCCTCAGCCCACAACAGTCACCAAAAAGAAGCCTGTTTCACGAAAACCTCGGCCTACAACAGCCCCATGCACAAAACATCCGGTACCTTCTCACAAAAAAACTCTATCTACAACTGGAGCACAAAAAACCCCTCTCCCAAAGAAACCATCACCCCCCAGAAAAGGTCCCAAACGCAGACCTCATCCACCTCGACCTAAGCCACAGAGACCGGGCCAACATAATTGCCGTCCAAAACCAAATGTTCCCCACAGACCTAAACCAACAATCTCGAAACCAACAACCAAACCTTACACCGCTACCACCAAACAAACCACTACAACTACCCAGGAACCCACAACCACCAATTCTAACATTAATATTAAACCTACTACCACCACTGCCACCAAATCTACTACCCCATCTACTACCACCAGTCTATCTTCTACCCCTACCACAAGAGTTTCATCCACTCCATCTGGCAGCACTACCACCCTGACTGACATTAGCCCGGCACCAGTTGTTGTCACATCTACTGCCTCAACCACAAGATCTGCTCACACCACACCCATTGCCACAACTACCACCTCTGCTGCCTTGAACACAACTGAAGGCACCACATCTCCTGCCACTACCACAACTGTGGCAACTTCTCCTTCTGCCACCTCTACCACCACCCCTCTATCAACCACCTCTGTCACTAGTACCACAGCTATTACTTCTACCACTATTGCCACTGCATCCACACCTGTTGTCTTTAACACAACAGTGGCACGCACCCAATTTGCTGCCTCAACCACAAGACCTGCTCACACCACACCCATTGCCACAACTACCACATCTGTTGCCACTACCAAATCTAGTGCCATAACTCTTCTCACGACCACATCTGAAACCACCATTCCTGCCAACACTACCACATCAGATGCTTCTAATGCATCTGCTATAACTACATCTGTGGCACCCATCAATGTCACACATGTTTCTACCACCACAGCAACCACTGTTGCCACACCTTCTATCACCACCACCACATCTGTCCCCTCAGTCACACCTGAGGATACAACCATTGTTGATACTTTCCCCCCTGACACAACTACATTGGATGATTCCACCACCCCCGATGACAACACTGATGCTACCACTCTGTCTGACACCTCTTTCCCTACTGAAGCCACCACCCCTGAGGTCAGCACTTCTGTCCCAACTACTACAGTTACATCTGCTGAACCTACAACCTTCACATCTGCTACTGCTGCCATTGCTACCTCTGGGGCCACTTCTGCTGCCACTAACCCCTCATCAGCCACTTCTACTACTTCTGCAACATCTGTGGCCACATCTGTGGTTGCCACCACTGGTGCCTCTAGCCCATCAGCTTCCTCTACCACAGCCTCCTCGGGAACTACTTCTGCCCCTTCCACATCTACTGCCACCTCTATCATCACTCCCACGAGCACTGCATCTACAGCCATTAATAACTCTGTTTCCTCGATAACAACGCCTGTTGCCACTGTATCCTCCTCTACTATAGCTGCTCCAACCAGCATAACCTCTGCTGCCTTGAACACAACTGAAGGCACCACATCTCCTGCCACTACCACAACTGTGGCAACTTCTCCTTCTGCCGCCTCTACCACCACCCCTCTATCAACCACCTCTGTCACTAGTACCACAGCTATTACTTCTACCACTATTGCCACTGCATCCACACCTGTTGTCTCTAACACAACAGTGGCACGCACCCAATTTGCTGCCATTAGCACAAACCCTGATACAACGTCTGCTACGGTTACGACCACATTGGCTGCCCTCACATCTGCCCCTACCACACAAGCTGCCACTACCTCTTCTGCCACCTCGACCACAACACCTGCTGCAGCTACCACTGCTGCCCCCAGCACTACCTCTGCTGCCTCCTCTACCACACCTGCTAGCACAACATCTGTGGCCACCACTGCCCAACCTACAGCCACATCTGTTCTCTCATCTGCTCCTCCCACCACAATCACCACCAGCCTGATCTCCACTGACACAACTGCTTCTGTTAGCACCACACCTGATGAGACATCTGTCCCCTCAGTCACACCTGAGGATACAACCATTGCTGATACTTTCCCCCCTGACACAACTATGGTGGTGGATGATTCCACCACCCCCGATGACAACACTGATGCTACCACTCTGACTGACACCTCTTTCCCTACTGAGGCCACCACCCCCGAGGTCAGCACTTCTATCCCAACTACTACAGTTACATCCGCTGAACCTACAACCTTCACATCTGCTACCGCTGCCATTGCTACCTCTGGAGCCACTTCTACTGCCACCACCCCTCTATCAACCTCCTCTGTCACTAGTACCACAACTGTTACTTCCACCACTACTGTCACTGGGTCCACATCTACTTTACCTACATCTGTCCCTACCACACAAGATGCCACTACCACGTCTGCCTCTTCAACCACTACACCTACTTTCACTAACACTACTCCTACTGTAACCACCTCTGCTACCACGAGTACCACCAATTCTGCAACTACCATATTTCCTTCCCCTACTACAGAACCTGTAAGTACCACATCTACCCTCAGCACATCTGCCCCAACTACATCTGTAACCACTAGCACATCTGCTAGCACATCTGTCATTAGTACAACTGCCCTTACCACACCTAGAGCCACTGATTCTCTATCCTCTCCAGCAACAACTTTTGCCCCTACATCTTCTGCTGTTGTCACCCTTGATACCTCTACTTTTGATGACATCTCATCCACTGACCCTATCACCCCCACTGACATAACCACTGATGCACTGGCCACTACTGATGAAGTGACCACTGATCCTGACACAAGCACATCCGATGAAACAGCCACGACTGAAGAACCGGTCACATTTGATGAAACCACCATAGCCACTACTTAGGGAAGCCATCAGCACCGAGGAATATGAAACCGCCTTTCTGGGGAAATGAGCACTGATTCAACTGTCATCACAACTGATTTCACCACATCTAATCCGAATTAGTACGGGGCTGCCCATAACCATAAGGCAGGATGAAAGAGGGTCTTGGTGAGGAGATAAAAATAAAGCCTAATGCAACTTGAATTCAAAGAAAAAAATCAATGTGACTCCAACTGATTAGAGACAGTTATTCATAATTAATGATAATTACTTAAGTAATGATACTTAAATAACTTTCATGATTCTTTCAGTCATCTTGCCAATAAAGTTACATTCTTATAAATTTATGTAAAATGAGAGTTAATTCCTTGTGTCTCTATAATTGAATGAAAAATCGCCTGGGGAATATATCACAGCCAGAGCTCCATTTCATGAGACTAGATTTTACATGACAATTGTTCACCATGAGCTGCAGATTGATTGATACCTTCAGAGAATTAACTATAAGAATGTTTTCCTTTAAATGCATCATGAAATGAAAGGAAATGAAGTAAAATTAAAGGTAACAGTGATACTAGGCAAGAGCACATTAAAGACATTCCTGCTTTTCCCAACTATTATTGGATTTTGAAATAATTGATCCTGGCCCTTTGAGGCAGAATATTAATAGGTGACTTTCCATTAAAGGATCACTCTTCAAGTTTGTGTGAATTATGTAACACACATTTATTGAATTTATTTGAATAAAAGGTGCCTGGCATTGAACTATAGAGAAGTTCCTGATATGTTACATGTAAATTGCCTTTAAAAATCAAATCATAATTGTTATTTACATATGAATCTCATGGTGAATCTTTTAGAGAAGAGAATAGTTGTCCTTTGTTCTATCAATTGGAAAACTCCAAATTTTCACAAGCTGAGTTAGCTTAAAGTCAAAGTATTAAGCAATAAAACTATGATTAAATGTACAAATATGGGTTTACAAGTTCGTTCATTGAATTGCTTCACAGACCTCATAACCCACCAGAAATCCATCAGTGTCTACACAATTTATTAAAAAGTCTCCCAAATGTGAACATCACTTGCAAACCATAATGATGTAAATACTATCTGCCTCAGTGGTTAAAGATCTGAAGGCCATGACAGCATTTTTCTGTTTTCCCAATGCTCCAAACTACTCCAGACAACTGTTTCAATTTTTCTGCAATTAATGACATTGTATACATTTTCATCGTATCTTGCTGTATGTCTTAATGTTGTTGTTATTAAGTCTGACACTTCGTGGCCCCATTTGGGGTTTTCTTGACAAAGATACTGGAGTGCTTTACATTTCTCTCTCTAGCTCATTTTACAGATGAGGAAACTGAGGCAAAATGGCTTAAGTGACTTGCACGGGGTCACATAGCTAGGAAGTGTCTGAGGCCAGATTTGAACTCAGAAAGATGAGTCTTCCTGACTCTAGGCCCAGCACTCTCTCCACTGTACCATCTAGCTGCCCTTATGTATATTAATATAGAGAAGCAAAACATTCAAACATTCTTTTGTAGAATACGTTTAAAATCATACCCTCCATACAGAAATCTAAACTTTTGTGTTTTTAAAAAAATCATACCAAGATTGCCAATTCCTCTACTAGCTTATAATATTCATAGTTTTTTTTTTATTTTTAAATCTTTCTTAGTACCCAGCACAGTGTTTTGTATGCATTAGATAATTGGGAAATGTCTGTCAAGTTTAGCACATTGGACCACAAAGCCTTGGGAACCTTATCTACTTCACCTCATCCTGATAAGTGACCCCAAGCTCACCAGCTGAGAGAACCTGCCTTCTACGCATTTATGAAATTCTTCCTATGTCTGGCTCACTATGCCAAGTTTTTAACAAATATTTTCTCATCTAATCCTCATAACAACCCAGAATTTGAAGTCACTCGACTACTTGACTCCAGGCCCGTTGAACCACCTCGCCACCTCCAGGGGAAAGAAGATTAACCACACGGCATCTACTGCCCCATCTTGGCTAGAGAAATGACATGTACTCAAGACCTGTTGAAGCAAGGAGGCTCATATCGCCCCTTTCAACACCATACGGAATCCTCTGGAGATGTTTCCGCGACCTAGACAGCGCAGACTCAACGGCAAGGGGCATTGTCCTGTGAGCAGCCCCCAAACAGTTGCCTTCAGGCTGATTCTGTTGGAGTCACTTCTGTGATCTTGGTCAGAGTTTCTTCCTCCTCCCCCAACTCTTGTTCATGTTGTTCTTGTTGTTGTTATTGTCGAATTGTTTTCAGTCACGTCCAAAACTCCACGACCCCATTTGGGGTTTCCTTGGCAAGGATACTGGAGTGGTTTGTTGCCATTTCCTTCCCCAGCTCATTTTACAGATGAGGAAACTGAGCCAAACAGGGTGAAGTGACTTGCCCAGGGTCACACAGCTAGTGAGTGTCTGGGCCCATATTTGAACTCAAGAGTTGAGAATCCTATGGTGAGGAGCAGCCATGACCCTACACTGTGTACTGAGCAAGGAATTAATTCAAAAGCAAGCAGTAGCAGCATGATTCAGATGCAAGGAACAGAGCGAGGTCTGGGTTCCAATTTTCAGCCTAACCTGAGGCTTAGAGGAAAAAAGAAAAGGGCAGAAATCCCAGACTAACAAGAAACCTGCAGTTCTATCATTCAGGATTAGGAGAGCTTTCTAACCGGATGACAGTAGTTGAATCCAGCAGCATTCCATCGGAATTCTAGCTGGAGTAAGATCACATGCAGTTGTTCAGATTCAAACCCAGGTCAAGAATTTGTAGAGCTTTATTCAGGGGTCAGTGAGCAGACTTTGCCATGGATTAGACCATTTTAGGATCACTGAAAGCTTGTCAGTCCCCAGCCTGCACTATCCCTGAAATCCTGGAATAACAGAAAGCAGCAAGAGGATCAGTGCAGACACTCCCTCCAGAAGTGCACAGAGCCTAGCTCTAATAAAAAGTCCAAAGTCAGGAAGCAGGCTAGAAGAACAAGCAAACACAAAAAGAACCCCACTGTAAAAAGCTATTATGGTGAAAGGGATGCTCAAGGCACAAACCTAGAAAAAGAAAACGAATCCAAAATATCCACAAGCCAAGTCTCAAAGAACAACACAGGTTAGGCATAAATTCAACTAGAATTCCTGGTAGGAAGATGAAGCAAGTGTTTTTTGATATTAAAATGTTTTTATCCATGAAATGAAAAGGCTAGAGAAAAAACAGGGAAAGAAAAGAGGACTTTGGAAGAAAGAATTGAAAAGGGAATTAACAACCCGGCACAAGAGGCATAAAACCTCAACCAAGCCACGAACAACCTGAAAATTAGAATGACAGATAAGAAGACGATACACAGTGCTTTCAAGGGCAGAGCCAAGATACTGGGGAATAGGACAAATAGTAAAAGGCACAAAAATCCAACGAAGAGAAGAATACGTTGAAAAGCAGAATTGACCAAATGGAAAAAAATTTACAAAAATTCACTGAAGAGAAGAATTCCTTAAAAAGTAGAATTGGCTGAATGGAAATGGAAGTATGAAAGTTCACTGAAGAAAATGATTCCTTAAAAATTAGAATTAGGCAAGGGGGAGCTAATGACTTTATGACACCTCAAGAAACAAAACAAAATCAAAAGAATAGAAAAACAGAAGAAAATGTAAAATACCTCATTGGAAAAACAATTGACCTGCAAAATAGATCCAGGAGAAAGAATTTAAGAATTATTGAACTAACTAGAAGCCATAATCAAAAAAAGGGCCTAGACATCATCTTCCAAGAAATTAACAAGGAAAACTGCCCTAATATTCTGGAATCAGAGGGTAAAATCATTTCAGTTTATAATTTTCCTTTTCTGTCATATGAGCCAATCTGAAAAATATGGGGTGGTACTTCAGAGTTGTTTTAACTTGCATTTTCCTGGAAATAATCCACTGATCACCTCCTGTAAGAGATCCCAAAATGAAAACTCCAATAATATTATAGCAAAATTCCAGAGCTACCAGGTAAAGGAGAACAAATTACAAGCAATCAAAAAGAAACAATTCAAATATCATGGAGCCACAGCCAAGATAATATGAAATTTAGCAGTTTCTACATTAAAGGATCTGAGGGCTTAGAACATGATATTCCAGAGGGCAAACCAGCTAGGATTGCAACCAAGAATCATCTACCAAACAAAACTGAGTGTAATCCGTCAGGAGGGGAAATGGACATTCAGTGAAATAGAGGAGTTTCAAGTATTCCTGATGAAAAGACCAGAGCAGAATAGAACATTTGACTTTCAAATACAAGACCCAAGAGAAGCATAAAAATGTAAACAGGAAAGAGAAATCATAAGGTATTCAATAAGGTTAAACTGTTCACATTCCTAAATGGGAAAATGATACTTGTAACTTCTAAAAAAAAATTTTCTCATTATTAGGGTATTTAGGATTATACTTTGGAAAGAGGGCAGGGTGGGGCAGCTAAGTGGTGCAGTGGATAAAGCACTGGCCCTGGAATCAGGAGGACCTGAGTTCAAATTCGACCTCAGACATTTGACACTTACTAACTGTATGACCCTGGACAAGGCACTTAACCTCATGACTAGCCCCCCCCCCAAAAAAACAAAAAAAACACAGAAGAGGGCAGGGGTGTGAGATGAATATGATAAGATAATTATCTAAAAAATAAAATTAAGTGGTGATAAAGAGGAATGCACTAGGAGAAGGGGAAAGGTAGAGGTAGACTAAGATAAATTATCTAACATAAAAGAAGAATGAAGGAGCTTTTTCAGTGGAGGGGAAGATGGGGGGGAGGGAAGCATGTGAAATTACTCTCATCAGAATTGGCTCAAAGAGTAAATAAAATATACACTCAGTTGGGTATAGAAATCTATCTTACCATACAGAAAAGTAGGAGAAGAAGAGGATAAGGGAGGGGGAGGTGCTGATAGAAGGGAGGGTAGATTGGGGGAGGTAAAAGTCAGAGGCAAAACACTTTTGAAAATGGACAGGGGTAATAGAGATACAGAATATGAAAAACAGGAGGGAAATAGGATAGAGGGAAATACATAGTAATCATAACTGTGAAAAAAATTACACCAGGTTTTTCTATTAAAGATAAAATTTCTCAAGTATATGGAGAACTGAGTCAAATTTATAGAAATAAGAGCTATTCCCTAATTGATAAACGGTCAAAAGATATGAATAGGCAGTTTTTAGATGAAGCAATCAAAGTTATCTATGGTCATATGAAAAAATGCTCTAAATCACTATTGATTAGAGAAATGTCAATTAAAACAACTCTGAGGTACTACCCCACACCTATCAGATTGTCTAATGTGACAGAAAAGGAAAATTAC